TCCACCACACATTGTGTAGTCCTCGATTTAGAACATGTTTTCTCATTCTCTTTTACTTGGGATGGAAGTGCAAAGTCTTTAGGGCTAATGCTTCTGTGACAAATTTTGGGAAATGGATAAAATGTTCGTGTATTTTTCTCATCCCTTTTAAACTAGAGTTTTGTTGATTGTTCTGGATGATAGCCCCAACTCTTGCTCCTTAGCATGTAATATAGGTTCTCTTAACTATTGGCAGGATTGCTCAGAACCTAGGAATACACATCTCACCCTCTCCATGATTAATACATCCTTTTTCTCTTCAAACTGCTCTCTTCAGATGTACAAAGGTTCCCCCCATCCTGTTTTTTGTGCTTTGCTCTGTTATGTATGGCAGTGGTTCAACACTCAAGTGTTTTTGGACTGCAACTCCCAGAAGCCTTCACCACCAGCTGTGCTGGCTGGGGTTTCTGGGAGTTGCAGTTCAAAAACACCTGAGTAACCAAAGGTTAAGAACCACTGATATATGGGTCTCATGCTATCTGGAACCTTGGATAAACAACTATACAAAAAAGAGCAACAATATGTACTATATACAGTATGCATGACATGGGATAACATAGAAAGGTTTCTCCGTAGTGTTTAAAAAGAGTATGGTGTGACAGTCTCCTCGGATACATTCCTTGTTCTTAAGCAACATTTATTTTATTTACATTGTTGTATTTCTTTATGGTCCAGTGAGAGCTGGGTTATAAAGAAAGCTGACCGCCGAAGAATTGATACCTTTGAATTGTGGTGCTGGAGGAGACTCTTGAGAGTTCCCTGGACTGCAAAGAGAACAAACCTATCAATTCTAAAGGAAATCAACCCCGAGTGCTCATTGGAAGGACAGATCCTGAAGCTGAGGCTCCAGTACTTTGGCCATCTCATGAGAAGAGAAGACTCCTTGGAAAAGACTTTGATGTTGGGAAAGTGTGAAGGCAAGAGGAGAAGGGGACGACCGAGGATGAGATGGTTGGACAGTGTCATCGAAGCAACCAACATGAATTTGACACAACTCCGGGAGGCGGTGGAAGATAGGAGGGCCTGGCGTGCTCTGGTCCATGGGGTCACGAAGAGTCGGACACGACTAAACGACTGAACAAACAAACAAACAATTTCTTTCCACAAATCACGTTCTGCTTATAAAATAGAATGCTATCTTTCCTCACCCTGCTGTGCTGGATTAGATCAGCTTACAAAGTAACCAAAAACATGGCAGAAAAGGGAAGGCATGGGGAGGAAGTGAGAATGCCAGCTCCAAACCCATCTCTACTCAGACACGCAGCCACTTGGACAGTGCGCTACGACAGGCAGGGATCAGGTTATTCTTAAGTAACTCTCAACATCTCTAGTCTGGGAGTGTTTTGGATTCAGCATAACTTGAGCTCTCAGAGGCAGCTTAGCCAATCCTCAGTCATCTTTGCTAGTTAATTACTGTATAGTTTTAGTTTTGGTGAGCCTTCTTGGGTTGTCTAAGAGGACAAACATGACACACAAATGAAACAAAATTTTAAAATAATATATAACGTTTTATAGTTTTTTGCTCCTTCTGTTTACTAGTTGCTCCCTGTTATTCAGCTCAGGCCTCAGCACAATGATGTAGCATTTTGGGAAAAAGATGCAGCCCAGTAAGCCAGCAGTAGAAATTAAGATGGAGAAGATCTCCACAGCTACCATGTGTTTTCCTTTGGTGCTCAGGTAAGCTGGAACAAAGGACGCCCAAACACTGCAAAACACCAACATGCTGAAAGTGATGAATTTGGCCTCATTGAAGCTATCAGGCAACTTCCTGGCAAGGAAGGCCACAAAGAAATTGACACTGGCCAGGAAGCCCAAATAGCTCAAGACACCATAAAACATGTATGTAGACTTTTTTGCTCCTTCTGTTTACTAGTTGCTCCCTGTTATTCAGCTCAGGCCTCAGCACAATGATGTAGCATTTTGGGAAAAAGATGCAGCCCAGTAAGCCAGCAGTAGAAATTAAGATGGAGAAGATCTCCACAGCTACCATGTGTTTTCCTTTGGTGCTCAGGTAAGCTGGAACAAAGGACGCCCAAACGCTGCAAAACACCAACATGCTGAAAGTGATGAATTTGGCCTCATTGAAGCTGTCAGGCAACTTCCTGGCTAAAAAAGCCACTGTGAAACTGATCAAGGCCAAGAAGACCATGTAGCTCAGGGCACAGTAAAAAAAGACAACAGAGCCTTCATTACATTCCAGTATGATCTCCCCATTTAGTGATTGCATGTCCATGTATGGAAATGGAGGAGAAGTTCTTAGCCAAAAAATGCAGAGTCCTGTTTGAATGAAGGGACAGCAAAGGGCAATAACAGCTGATGTTCTTTTCCCCATCCATTTCCTCATTCTAGAATTTGGTTTCGTAGCCATGAATGCCAGAACCACAGTGATGGTCTTGGCTAAAAGAGCAGAAAGGGCCGCTGAGAAGATGATGCCGAAAAGAGTTTGCCGAAGCAAACAGGTTATTTCCGTTGGCTCCCCAATGAACAACAAGGAGCAGAGAAAGCAAAGAAGGAGGGAGGTGAGGAGGATGTAGGTGAGGCTCCGGTTGTTGGGTTTGACTAAAGGAGTGTTCTGGTATTTCCAGAAGGTTCCAATTACCAAAGCTGTTATAAAAGCAAAAATAGAAGCAGACAAAGCTAACATGATACCCAAAGGTTCTTCATATGAGAGATAGCTTATATCCTTGGGAATGCACTGATCCTGGCTCAAGTTGGGATGTTGATCTTCTGAACATTTGGCACAGGCATCCATGTCTGAAAACACAAAGGGATGTTAAGGCATCTGCCTATTATTTCCTATAGTTGTTCTAAATTTGTGCCCTCCAGGTGTTTCACATATCAAACTCAAAAATTCCTGACCAAAGATCATGGTGGCTGCTATTTGGGAGTTGAAGTCAAAGGGCCAAAAGTTGAGAATCAGTCATATTCCACTCAGTGACAAAATTGTGTTCTGCATATCGCATCTATGTATGGCAGGTGACTTCAGCAGCAGAGGGAGATTTGCAATTAAAGACTTCCTCTTTCTACCCCACACTTTGTGTATATAATCAGCCTTATTGTGTGTGAGCTGTGGAAACCCCAGAATAGAACCAGAAGTCTTTAATTACTAGTAATCTCCTCCAATTGACAACTTTACTGGTAGTGGACTCTGACTATAGGATGTAGGATCTGAATGTATAAGTTAACATTATTACACAAGTGTTTGTTATGTGCTTTCAGAGAGTGAAGAGAGACATAGGTTGCCATAAATTGATCTCCTCCATTTAGGACTGAATTCAAGAGCTTGAGAAGTTTGTTATGCAGAAAGGGGGAACAAAAGAAAAGCGTGAATTTTTAAAACACCTCTCTTGTCCATTTGGTGGATAGACTTCAGGCTTCCTTTTTTCTCCCTAAAATTCTGGCCCAAGATCCACCAAGTAACACCTGGTGAAAAAGGCATACAGCAAGAAGGAAAGAATTCTGAATTTGTTTTGACCTTTGGAGCTGAATGGCGCTCACTGTTCTAACGCACAATAAACCACCTCTGATCACCCGCAACACTCTTCCTTTCAATATGCCAAGTGGAGAGGAGGGCATTTGGTAGCTGGTGTCCTTAAACAAATGGGCACTGAGACATCCATCCTCATCTATTACAAATTACCTAGAGATCACCAGACACAGTTTCTGCTCCCTCCTGGTGCAAGGTGTATTTGAAATAGTTGTACAAAATGCTTCCTACCTTTCTGGTTAGAGATCATCCCTTCTGAACACAGAGCACAATCATAACAGCAGAATTTCTCTCCTTGTTTCTTTTTTCTGTGGGATCCTGGATAGCAGTTGTCATTACAGACAGAAAGGGGCAGTACCTGTCAATGAATATGAAGGCTGATTAGTGCCAGTAAAGAATGTGTTAGCAAGCTGTGGAATTCAAGAAATAGGCAACTGTTAATAAAACTCTCAATATACTCCTGTTATGCTGGAGACTAACACCACTTTTACAGAAGAATGTCACCAAGCAGTAAGGTGGAGCTTGAGCAGTTTCTACTGAACTTGACAATATTACATATTTAAAAACAATGCTTTAAGCATATTTGTGCCTTTCATGTGAAATTAACTTCCAAGCCGACAGGAGACTGACTCAATACAGCTGTTGTTGTTTAGTCATTAGGTCATGTCTGACTCTTTGTGATCGCATGGACAAGAGCATGCCAGGCCCTCCTGTCTTCCACTGCCTCCCGGAATTTGGTTAAATTCATGTCAATACAATAGGACCCCCTTATTTGTGAGATCAATATTTGCTGATTCACTTATCCATGGTCTGAAATCATTAGAAATATTTTTTAATAATCCCATAAATATGCATTTCTAACAATGAACTGACCACTAGAGGTAACCAGAGACTCTATAGTGTTCAGTAGAGAACGATATTTCCACAATGCCATTATCAGAATTGGCTACCAAAGGGATTCAAAGACCATTCTATGTATAGCATTCACTATTGTAATAGTGTTTGCTATAATCCACATTTTTTTCAGCCTCCACAGAGTCTGAGTGCCACAGGCTCCTGATGCTAATGATCAAAATGTATTATTTTCTTCCTTCATGAATGTTCTTGATATGGAAAATGATGGGGGAAGTGATGGGAAAGCATATGACAATTACCACACAACGTTGTCACGATCTCTGTGAAATGACATGTATGAGGCAAAGTAATGGCTGAATGCTATTATCACCTATAGGCACACTAGGGCTGCGATAACGTGGACACATGTCAAAGGATTTGCTCTGCTTATAAAATTCAAAGTATCCTTTTTACTGACCACACAATGGAAAGGTCCAGGCCTTTTTGCTGTCAAAGTGCCTTTTTCTTTTCTCTGCCACTGTGGGGCTTCTATTTTTTCAAGCCAGAATGATTAAAATGGACTTTTCCCTATGTGGTTTATTGTGATATGTTCTTGTTAACATGGGGAGGGGCATGCCTATAGGTGGTGCTTTGGTGACATATACAGTTGGGGTGTGATAGGAGGACTGGAGGAACGTACCTCTGCATTCTTTCATCTCCCCCATTGTTCCCTGAATGTTTTAATGAAAAAATGTTTTACATATAAGAGGTTAGCACTAGATCACCCTATCATCTTAATTGCTGGGTCCTCATTACTATTTCTTGCATTTACGCTCCATAAAAGGATCAGCAAAGGTGAGACCAGAGGAAAGAAGGGGCGGGGCTGTGGCTGAAACACAAATTGCCTCACATCCAATATGTGAACGGTGAACTCCCAAATCAATCCGCAGGGCCCGTGTGAGCTCTGACTGCAATCCGAAATGGAATAAAAGCTGCAGATCAAATCCAGTGTAGTTGCACCCTAAATTAGCTTCAAGAGCCTTATAATATTGGTTTACATGAACCATGTAAAGATGCTCCTCTCTAATGCATGTGTGTAGGTTAGAATCAAGGAATAAAGTATTGATTGGTTGTTGTGAGTTTTTCGGGCTCTTTGGCTGTGTTCTGAAGGTTATTCTTCCTGACGTTTCCCCAGGCATGGACAGAGTTCCTACTCCGGTCCTCTGAAGATGCCGGCCACAGAGACTGGCAAAACGTCAGGAAGAACAACCTTCAGAACATGGCCAAAGAGCCCGAAAAACCCACAACAGCCATTAGATCCCGGCCGTGAAAGCCTTTGCGAATACATTAAAGTGTTGATTGTTTGTAGATGAATCTGTAGTGGAGATGTTTGAGTTCGCCATTTATTTGCTTGATTTCTTATAGACAAGGGACAATGCTTCAACAAAACTCAGTACTTTGTATCCCAAGGAAGCAGCTGAGGGACAAGCAGAATGATGGCAGTGGAATGTGGTTCCAAATAATTCTTAACACATCACCATCTGCTCTGCAACTATGGTTTACCTGATTAAAGTTAGTGTGCCACACTATTTGGTCATCATTGATAGTAAACTCTTTGCCTGGGGGAGCCTGAGGGTCCATCTTTCCAACTATTACTCTCAGTGCCGAGCCATTGGGGAACATCCGCCAATTGGTAACATCAAAAGCAGCCACCAGTGTTCTGTTTTCATTAAGGTGAATAGTATCTCTTGCACTGTTGTTGAACACCATGCCTTTCAGGAAGGAGTGAAGCTAGGAAAATGCAACAATAAAGGGGAAGCAATATCTTTATAAGGCAGTCTACTGGGATGATATTCTGACATCAATTTTCTTTTTGAGAGACAGAGAGAGAGAGAGAGAGAGAGGTGATTTTGCATTTATTGCCACATTTACTTTCCTTTGGGTCTCCACAGATTGCAATATATGAAGAAAGCACTATATTTGGAGTTCTAGTCAAACTATGTGATTTTTTCAAATTCTAATATCACACACATATATATTTCTACTTTAACCTTAAGCAATAAACATGGATTTGCTTCTGTGTAAATTGGGAATAATTTAGGCACACCTTTTAAAAACTGAAACATGCTTATATTGCTGAAATCTGATAATATGATTAAAAATGCACAAAAAAACTGGAGGGGCATGAGATGGATCACGGATGAAGACAAAAGATGAGAAAGACAGTATCTAAAAATTAAGCAACAGCATCATTCATAGAATCAGTTTCAATATGATGTGATCCTTGTTGTGTATGACTGATAAGAGAGAGAGAGAGAGAGAGAGAGACAGACAGACAGACAGACAGACAGACAGACCATTTATTGCCACATTTACTTTCCTTTGGGTCTCCACAGATTGCAATATATGAAGAAAGCACTGTTGCTATTTCGTATACATTACTATAGGGAATAATTACTCAGTCATATTTTTGAACACAGGTTTCAAGGACCTCTATCCTGCTACAGACTTAAAGGGCAAAATTTCCTAAATCTCCAAATTATGCATTCACACTAGCCAGAATCTTATTGGGATTTTACTTCAGAGTAAGTGAAACTGGGTAAGTCATGGTGGCAAATTGCAGCTAATTAGCAAGACACCAGTTGCCTGCCAATTGCATTCCTGTCATGAGACCTGGTACACAACCAAGCGCACTTCCAGCACCTTGTCAATTAGCTGCAATTCACTGTCATGTTTTAAGCAATTTCGTATAGTCCAAAGTGAACTCTCAACAGGAGCCTGGTTAAAAATCCCAAAAGGATCCTGGTTTAATTACCTGCCATGGCTCCACATTCTGGAATGACAGTTTCCCATGTTTTATCAGTCTCCTGTGTTCAGAGATTGATTTATAGATAGCATGCAAAGCATGGGCCACGGCATAGACAGCATTGTACACATTGTAGCTATGGCCAGTCATGTTCATTTCAAACAAAGTTCCAGGAATAGTCTCCAGCTTCTCCTTTCCACTGCAGAGATCCATTTGATCCTCTTCCTTAGGCATTTTTAATGAACAGCTGAATGCCTGTTCCCAGAAGTCCTGGATAAATCCGTCTCCTGTGCTCCAGGAAGGTCTTATGGTCTGAATGAACTCCCGGAATCCTAATGGTTCCTTTGTGGGAACATTGAAGACTAAAGAACCATGGAAAGTTTGTGTGTCCCATGTCTTTTGAAGTGAGATTGAATCGAAATCCCAATGAGAGGTAGCAATCCACACTTTACTGAGAGGTGGAAATGAGAAGTAAGATGCTGAAAGCAGCAACAGTCTCAGAGCCTGAAAAGATGGAGGTTCTGCATATACGAAGTATACATTGGCTTTTCTTTCCATGAAAATTGGAGAGTTCTCCAGCCTTTCCACAATCTCCTCCATCACATCATGCACATGAACCTGTTTGATCAGTCTTTCTATGAAGGCATAACAGATACCCTTCCGGGAGAGCATAGGCACTATTGCCTGCAAAAATTTATCCCCATGGTCATCATCTACAGCAAAAAGGCCAATCCATACCCATCTGAAATGCTGAAGTAATTTTATAAGCCCACTATATTGGTGGTTTTCTTCTGGGACCATCTGGTAGAGAAAAGAAAATTGTGTTTTGTCTTCCTGAAGTGGTGAAAATGATCCGTAGGTGAACTGTAAAGAAGCACATCGGTCATGTCAGAACCTGCCCAGATCCTTCCCACAATTGTAATTGTACACACTTCCATGAATATTCCTCACCTGTGGAATCTTGTAGATGGAAGAGGAGGCAGCTACATTGGTGGAGATCCTGGAAGAAAGGCTCCCAATAATAGCTATCAGCTTGTTCTTTGTGTCACTCTTGAAGTTGGGGATAAACCTATGCTTTGTAGAAAGCAGATTGAGAGTGGCCTTGTAGGTCATCCATGCAATGTAGTAGCTGTTGAGGATGTGGAACCCCACAGAAATATTAGGTAAGATCTGAGGATCCTCATTGATCTCTTTGACAGCAAATACTAAGGCCAGGATGTGCTGGTAGTTCTTTGGTACTGATCTGTAATGAGAGGAACAGGTTATTTAACCCAAGACTAGTATTTGTTCACCAGCATTGTTCTTTACAGAAAACAATGTGTTTATTGTTTTGTCAGCAGCCATCAAGAAGGTGAGTACAAATGATGTGCATATTCCCTTCGTTAATAGATGTCTGAGTGATCTTTCTTTGGTTATAGTAGATCTTCTCCTTCTTCTACATAATGCAGTTCTCTCTGTATACAGAAAGATTGAGGGACAGGGGAGAAATAGAGTACTTGTCTACAAAGTGTTGAGCAAGACATGTTTCAGCTACAGATGCTAAGCAAGAAGAAATTAAATGTTTTGATGCAAGTGTCCAGGAGAAATTGATCATACTGCAAAACAGAATACAGTCATAATGAACCCAATAATAGGAGATAAAGCGGCACCCAACATTGTTGGAGAATTTGACGTAGGAAAAAAGTGAAAGAGTTACTTATACAGTTCTTATCCCAAAAAATAAAAATAAAGAGTTGTGGCACCTTAAAGAATGCTATATTTCAAGGTAAGCTTTTGTGGATACATCCTCTTCAGACATTCTTCTAGATATGCTTGCACAAACTATGAAGACTACTTATTTGAAAACTATAATTATAGAATTGTGTGAAGTCAAAACCATTTTTACTGCAAATGCATGCTTCAAACAACTAAAGAGATGATTGTACATGTGGAGATCACCAGATGTATAAGCCGCTGCCAAGCCATGGCTTCGGCATGGTGGCTTACCTTTGCCGGCTTCACCGGAAGACACGAGATCCCCTTTAAGTTTCGTGTGAGTAGTTTTAGAAGAGGGGGGGACCTTAGGCTATTTAAAGGCTGTTCCCCCCTCTTTGCTTCCTCTTTCTTGCTGGCATCCCACCCATCCGCCTTTGGGGCTGTAAAGGAATTTTTGACCTGGCTCCTGATTGGCTTTTGGAGGTGGGGATTTTTTTTTTTTTTGCCTATCCCACACTGGAGAAGGTGCGTTGGCAAATTTTGAGGTGGAAATTCAGTCACATTGGTGGTTAGTGTGAATTAAACAGTTAGTTTGGTGAGCCCCAGAACAATAGCAGGTAATTACAGTATAGCTCATCTGAACACCTAGTACTGCAGATCATGTGATTACAATGCTGGGGAGGAAATGCGCTGGGGACACACGCAGACCAACAGTCTACAAGGCTGAGAGTGGCTCAAGGTCTGCGGTGGTCAAATTTGGGACGGCAGAGTTTCTCAATATCTTCATAGCTGGGAAAAATTGGGCTAGAGACTCGCACATGCGTTGGTTAGAAGGGTCCGTTTTGACCTACGTCTTTGAAACCTGAATCCGCACTACGGCAGGACCCCCCCTTTGCCAAAGGATTGGCAACAATGATTATATGCAATAAAGTGTGGCTCGTGTTTAATCCATATTTCTGGTCTCGCGTATAAAGACTTGCATCACTGTAAAGTTGCCAACAAAGACATTGACATTGTTAAACGTTTTGTATACTTTGAGACTTGGAAGGATAGCTCTGAAGGGACTATAAAAGATTTTCCAATGTAAGGATGCCTCATGGAAAACAAGACTAAGCTCATCCACAGTATTATATTCTCAATTACTTTTAAGGATGGGAATGCTTGCCAATAAAGAAAGCTGGTGGTAAAATAATGAATTTGAAATATGGTGCTGAAGGAGGGTTTTGTGGATACCATGGATCTCCAGAAGGATGAACAAGTGTGTGCTAGATCAGAACAAATGTGAATTCTCTAGAAGCAAAACTGATGAAATTTAAGTTGTCAAACACTGTGTACATCATCAAAAGAGAAGACTCACTAGAAGACAGTAATACTAGAAAAAGTTGAAGGAAACAGGAAAAGATGATGACAAGATATGAGCTAGATTGACTCAGTAAAGGAAATCGTAGCTTTAATTCGCAAGACTTGAGCAGGTCTTTTTGGAGGTCACTGATTGATGGGGTTGCTGTAAAACAGAAGTTATATGATAGCAAATAACAACAACAAAAAGAAATTTACTAGAAAACTGTCATGCTATCTCTGATGGACTTTCTTTCCTTCAGTGTATAAATATCTAAACAAATAGGTTCAAAGGAGACCAAATAGGTATTCAAGGAAATACATACAGCTAAGTTGACTCCAGATTAAATTACCTTCCTTGAAATCAGTGGGAATTCTTTCGTGCTATTACTAATTTTTCACAATGATTTCACTGGGAATTTACTGCAACTCCAACACCCAATACATCTAATGAGCATATAAGAATACAACACATAACACATTTTCATCTGATTTAATATATGTATTGTTCCTGGAAAAGAAATCCTAAAAATGTCAGAGCTTGCCTAGTACCAACTGACACATGATAGTTTTTTTTTTGAAGATTTATAGCTTTCTGTAAGATAATGTATAAAGCTATAAATCTTCAAAAAAACTATAATGTGTCATTTCCCATTTTTAAAAAATGCTTACAGTTATATGTTATCTTAAGAATAAAACTGAACTTGAAAAGGCAAATTTCAGTTTGAGATGTTGAACTATATCTCTCATAGCCATTAAGTTATCATTCAACTTTGAGTTTCTTTGTTTTTTTTTAAATATATGAAAAGGCCTGAACCAAATTAGTGAAACTAATGGTAAAATCTATGGGGGGAAAAAAACCTGGGTAGAATGTCTTCATTGTGATAATGAGAAATAAAAGTGTGTGAGAGAAAACAGAAATGCTGACAGAAGTTGAGAGGTGCTGGAAAAAGCTCTGGAAAAGCTGATTGTGCCCAGTTACACAAGATCAATGGCATTGCAGATGAAATGACCGAGATATGCTAATGACTCTTGGAATGCTACTGAAAAGACAGTTAGCTAATACTTAGGTCTAATAATAGATAACCAACTCTTGTTTGTGATTGTAACATTTTACAGAAAGAAATATTTCCTTACACAGATTCCTCAATCTGCATCTGGGCTGGTGGTTCAAGGAAAGTCAGAGGAGTATGCAGGAAGAAAACCTGGGTAACAATCCCACCAATGACAAGGTTTCCTGGCTGGTAAAATGCATGAGGAATAGGCAGGGGATCATCAAGTATCGTACAATTAATAGAATGTGTCTCACAAACACTGTGACACAGCAGTACAAACAGGAGCACCACCACCAATATGATCCTGTTGAGAAAATGTCTTCTCCAGAAAAGGATTTCCATGTTTCCATTGTCACCAGTACATGTTCTGTGGTATAATGAGGTTTACTAAGCAAGCGGCTCACTTGTGGATCAGTTTTATGCTACAGCGATGCATTCTTTGCCTGGTTGAGTGCTTCATCTGACCGAGTCTTTATTTAATCATGGGCCTCTGCCCAACCTTTACTTAGACAAGGGAAGAGATGACGAACAAGGGTACTCACGGTATACTTTTCTAGATGGAAAATCAAGGTAAAACCAAGCTGTGGTTGAAACCTGAACGAGGAAATTTCTGATAGATCATAATAACAATACCCAGCCTATGGCTAGGTCTTATTCTAAACAACACGTGGGACTTTATATTTCTTTCAGATGTTATTGTTGGTGTACCCAGTTGGTGCTAGAAATCTACTGTGTATTGGAACGAAAACTTGTAATTTATACAGTGATAACTTAGATTCTTGCTTCCCCAGGGTGTTTTTATCTTTTGAAGTTGACTCATGCATGCTAGAATTGTAAGAGATGTACTTCTTTCTAAAAATGTTTTTTTTTAATCTAAGAGAGATAAAATAATAAGTGGTACATGGCCAGCTGATGAACGCTGTTTCTGTTCAGTTTAACAAATCAACACATTGGCCACATGTAATGGGTTTAAATGCACAGTGACAACATTAGGACTTGGATGCTCATCTTGATGTACATCCTTCAAAAGACCACTTTAATTAATATTTGCCCAATTTATGATAATTAATAGTATTTTTAAAGTATTTATTTGTGAAATATTCCAATTTAAATGGGATACAAGCAAAAAAGAAAAAGAAAAAGAAAAAAGAAAAGAAAAGAAAAAAAAGGAAGGCCCCAGTCACAGGAGCCTTATAGTTGAACCTTTGACTCTGTATGTGTGTGGTTGGTAAGTGGGAACAGTCACTGGCAGGACTTATTGAACACACAGAGAGGTATCCAGACAAGCTGGATTTGGGGGAGCAGGAGAGAGGGACATCACTGTGTCTTTATGTGAAAGCTCCCAAATAAACAACATTTTCTAAATGGTTTTGATGTCCGGTGGGCCGGACAGGAGCGGCTTGCGGGCCGTATGTGGCCCTCAGGCCACACTTTGCCCAGGTCCGGCCTACACCCTTTAGCAGACATTTTGAGACACACTGTTTGTGGCTGCCTGACATTGTATGTGTGTTTCCACATAAACATTTAAAAATTGCTGCACATGGTAGGAAATGCTAATGGCTATGACTTGGGGGCAAATGTATTCACTGATAAACTCATGCAAATTGCAAATTCTAATACTGTAATAAAATTTCAGTTGAGTCCACTGAACCAAACCGAGTGAGAGAACGAAGCAAAAGAAGAAGGTCCAAGTAGGAAAGGTAGAATTTATACATGCATTAACTGTTACATGTAAGTTTTATGGAAATACTAATTCAGCACATGAAGCCTGTTGCAGAAGATATACATGAAACTGAAGTGCAAGAGGTTTAAACAAAATAATTGAAATGAATCCCTTGTTAAGAAAAGTTACAAGTAAAGATGGGACTATGGAACACCTTGCCTCCGGAAATCACCCTGGCACCCTCGCTGGGTGTTTTTAAGAGTCATTTAAAGACTTGGCTCTTCAGGCAGACCTTCCTTCCAGTCAACACCTGATTTTCGTTTTTCTTTAGTTTTTTTTCCATCTTGATCTTCCAATTTGTTGATATAATTATGTCATTGATTTACATATGTTGATGGTTTTTATTTGATTGTATTTTATAATGTTTTATTCTTCTT